AAACTGAGAAATCTATATTTTGAACCTCTGTATTCAGACGGATATTTAATTAACTCTTTGACACAATAACATTCGGCAGCCATACAAACTGTACTTCTATATTCTTTATCAGACAGCTCAATTGAATTTCACTAATCATATTATCTCAGTCTCGAAATCTACAAACAAAAATTTCTACCCATGTCCAGTGGGGCTGATGAAGTATAGGCAAAGGTGCACACGCTTATCAGGAATTATTGCTGCACGCTCAATCTTAGTTTCTTCCGAAAAATAATCCAAATATTTTTTCTCGATGTAATTTACGATCGGCTCCCAACTGCAAATTATAATATGTTTAATATGAATGAAACTATCTGAAACTCCTGAAAAATTGGCAATATTATAAATTTTTAATATCCGCGTGACTGCATAATTGAGAGTATGTAACTTGGCACGTTATTCATTATTACATTTTACACTTTGTTCGTCTATAAAAAATGTTACGAAGATTCTTTGAAATATCAAATATAGTAATTTCCTGTGCAGAAATTTGTATACAGGAATTATTTATTCACTTGCACAGTGTCACGAGGAAAATCATACATTTTATGAACGCTGTAATATTGAATGTTATAAGTATGAATTAAGGAAAATCACTGAAGTCAAATTACGAACATAGTTTGTTCTAAAATAACAAAATAAAGCAATTACAGACCATTTGCTGTTATCCACCGCATCACCAAAACCTGGACAATCCACCATTGTAAGATTCAAAGTTACACCATTCTCCACTAAACGTACAACTTTCTCCTCAATTTGAACCGTTGGTGAAATGCGTCGTTTTTCCGTATCCAAATCGTTAACTTCCGTACAAAATAAGGAATTGATGAATGTAGATTTACCAAGACCAGAGCAACCTACAGTACAAAATAATGTTTTTAAAAACTATTATTAGGATAAAAACAACAATTACTGCTCCTTCTTAACATTGAGTATTGATGGAGTGATAAAGTGTCCTCAATGTTATTTGTAATAACGGATACAAATTTTGGCAGATCGTTGCTTAAAACTTAAGTAACACGATTGAATATTATATGTGATTATTACGACATGTAATATTCAATCGGAAAGACAATTATCCACAAAGAAACAGTTCCAATTTCACATCAAATATTATGTACAGTAAGAAATAATCTACAAATAATAATCTAACTATGTTTATTTTTATTTATAATTTTCTGCATACAAATAAGGAACAAAATATGTCTACTAAAGAAAGACAAGTAAATTTTCTACGTTCATCGATCAACACAATTACTCTTAAAAGAATTGCTCAATCATCAGCAATTCTTTTAAATAAATAATCGAAATTTTTCGTTTTAAATCTGATATAATAGACAAAGCTGAACGTACCAACAACCATCAGCGTAAACTCGAAGCCATTTTTGATAGCACGTCGAAATACTTGGTTTGGAAAATTAGCAAAGCCAACATAACTGTGAGCATCTTTCAGTTTCGAACCATTCAACGATTTCTCTGACATATTTGAACCATTTATGTCGACTTGCATCTTGCACTTACACAGAAAACGAAAGAGAGATAGAAAAGTTGTCTTTCTGAAATTTATCATTTTTTCCAGATTAACTTACCTTACGCGATAAGCAATTAGCACAGCAATTTTCTACCAGTATAGCAATTCCTTACCGGAACTTGATCACGAATATGATTTACTGCCATAGAATTTAATTTAACATCAATGTGATTTAATATAATATAAAATTTCAGCTAACATCTCATACTAATGCAGCATCATATGACATTACCAGGATTTTATTTTATGGTATTTTTGCCGTTTATTATAGCTTAACAAAGCCTACTGCATATTTCATCATAACACTATTACAATACATATACAATAACAGTGTCCGCGAGTGTATGATTACAGAATCTTATCATACTACCTTAACTGTCTTGTTATAGAATCTTATCACAGTTTCTTATCTATAAAGTGTTGCTAGAAATTTCTATTATCATTCTTGCTATGTAAAATAGCGTCACATCAGATCAGCAATAGTATTTCATGCGAATCCAATGTGAAATGCAATTTTACCAGATATTTTTGTACAGAAAATATTGGCCTTCCCAGCTGCACATAAATTCTGAACGTCGAAATATTTTAACTTTCTAATATCATATTTATCTTAACCTTTTTTTTTTTTAAAATGATTACACTCATTCATCCAACTTTTATAGCGATTTATATCTGATTATACCTAATCGTCCAAAAATTTGTTTACATAATTATAGCTAGTCATTTAACGAATTACAACGATTCGTTTAAATGATTATAACTATTCATTCAATAAGTACAACGATTTATTTAAATGATTTTATAGCTACTTATCTAATGATTATAACGATTTGTCTAAGTGATTACAACTACTCGTTTAATGATTACAACGATCTGTTTAATTATTGCAGCCATTCATCAAATGATTAGAACAATTAATATAACGATCAAAACTAGCCCCCACGTTATCCCCATGCGTTAGCCCCACGTAACAACGAGAAGCGAGCACCGCTAACACAGATGTATGAATCATTCGAGCCAATGCTTCGGACAACCGTAAAGTATTAGCCGGGCTGTTCCGTTTGAGAGTAAAATATCGGTGGGATGACGGAGGTGAAATTTTGATCATTTATCATTGTTGTTATACAGGATAGGAGGAATCTTTAGTTAAGAAAGCCAATAGGCTAATTAGGAGAAATTAATAAGCCATTCAAATAATAAAAGTGGAAAATGAATTATGCGATTTTCAGAAATAATTATTAACAATGTAAGTTCAATTGTTCCTTTTTTCTTTAAAAGATGGTATAATCTTTCTAATTTTTTAGCACACTAATTTCATAGGTTTTTTTTTTTCTAAATTACTCTCTCTCTCTAAAATTATCAATTAAATAACTTGAAAAATTGTTTTTTGCATATCAAGTGGAGAAGTGCTAAATTTGTTTACTAATATTACTTCTCGTCAAAATTTGTAATTTTATTTGTTGTATAATCTATGTGTTAAATTATTTATAACTTCTTTGAATTATCTGCTTTTGTCCATTTTATTAATAATTTTGAAAACTAGCAAATAGTAAGATTAAAACGATATTACCTGTTGTTGCAAGTATACTATCTGTAAGCATAAGTTAAAATCTATTCAAACCTTCAAAAATAGTTCACATTATGTCAGTAATCCGATAAGAGATAAATGATTGATAAAATTAATTGAGAAGGGGAAAACTATTCTTTTCTATCTTATCATTATTCTTTGATCAAATAAACTAAAAAAAGATCAAAATAATCACAAATGAATTTTAACGCTATGAATTCTCTTGAAATGCAATTTAAAGTATATAATGAATCATTTTTGATTTTGCATTTACGCCATTGACATCATTTACTCCTTAAAATATAATAATGGACTTGCTTTCATAATTTTAATACGAATAATTTAATATCTTCGAATATCATTATGATTTGTTTGATTTATTGATTCATTTTGTGCAATTACAAATTCACATACTCCAAAAAAAGTTTTAATTCCTTGTGGATTTTTAAAAATTCAAACTGGAAAGTGAAATAAATAGAATTAAACAGAAAAAAGATGTAATCTGAACTAAAACTTCATGATAAATTTTACTTCATTATGTAAATTCAGTCAATTTGCTGTGTATGAATCAAAGAAAAGCAACCAGCTAACTAAATAAAAGTTAGGACATTAATTTTGAATAAACAAATAAGCAGAATAAATAAATAAATAAATAAAAGTTTGATTTTGCAACAAATATTTCTCGTAAAAAATGAAAATTGCAAGCTCAACTGATTTATTTACTTTTGTTGAATAAATGAGGAAAATTGAATAAGAAAATTAGCTAATTCGAATTTTAAGAAATGCTTAATATATCAGAAACAAAAATAAATAAGTGACAAATATTTGCTTAATAGATAATAACAAACATTTGTCTAATAAATAAACGACAAATATTTGTTTAATAACATAAATAACAGATATTTATTTGATAAATAAGGAAAAAATAAGTTTAAAAGCACCTTTTTAAATTTATTTTTTAAAGAATAAAAAAAATTACTTTCATCGATTAATTATTATTGTAAGTTAAAAACAGTTGCATCGAGTAATTCAGATTTATTCTCGAATTGGACAGATGCATTATTGCGAATGATTTTTAAGTATAAATTAGAAGATTTTAGTGGAAGAACAAATGGAAAGAAAAATTTTTTTGGATGTTAGATTGATCATAATTTATTGTTAATTTGATCAGTTAATTTCAAAATTTAATATTTTATGTCAAAATTTTAAGATATCATTCGCTAGATGTGATTTCAATTCTTCGTGTGTTTTCTTCAAAATTCTGGTAATTAACATTTATAAAAGATAAATATATTTTGCAGATCATTGAAGAAATTAATTGATTTTGGAATCAATTTATTCGATCTGTTGGCAATCGATTGTATCATCCCTTTTTTTTTTCGAATAATTAACTTAACATTCAATTCTTCTTCTCTTATACTTTCGATCTATTTTACGTCCTCTACGAAAAGAGAATGTAGAAATGAACAAGTTGAAATGATCAAATTTAGTCAACTAATGTCAATTGCTACGATTAGAATTGAAATAATCAGGTAAGATAGAATTGAAAAAGTAACCGATAGATAGTTGGAAGTGAATTGATTGAGGGACGATTTCAACATGCAATTCTAAAAATATAACTCATCTTCTCATTTCACAGCATTAACTTTGGATAAGTTCAAAGGCAAGGCAAATTTTGTTAACTTGAAAGGGAGGATAGAGGAGAGAGTGTTTGCTAGCAGGGATTGGATCAGTGATGATTGCGGTTGTGGAAAATGTTGATCGGCGTTGCTGTCGTTGTTGCACGAAATGCTGTAAAGTGTTGTTGGAGAGATGGTCTTGAAATGAGAAGATAAATTCAGACAAGCATTTGTTGTGATATCAATGAGTGGAAGCGACGAAGAAGAGGTTCTTTTTTCGCAATTCAATTGATTTTGTTTTTTTTTTTTCACTTTCATTAGTAAGTTTTAAATTAATCAAAAAAAATTAGAAAAAAACTTGATAATTTCAAATTTGCAGTTGAAAAAGTTGAGATAATTTTCAAAAATTAAATTTTAGGAATTCATATGTTGTTATTGTTATAGAGTTTATATTATCGGAATGAATAGAATTATTTTATTATAATAAATAGATCAGTTGAAATTTGATGTTTCTATTCTTTTTTTAATGTTTTTATGTTTTAAATTTAATGTTATAACTTCAATTTCAATCTTATTCAAATTTGGTGCTATATGCTAAATTCAAATTTGGTGCTATATGCAATCTCTATATTAGCTGAGCAAAATTCAAATCATATTGGAGTAAATGGAATCATTTTTATATCCCATGTTTGATATGCATATTTAAATAATCATTGAAATATTAAAATAAAAATTTCAAGATAGAAGTATCGGATATGGATTTTGAAGATGAAGAGGAAGAGGATGAGGAAATGGAATGTGAATTTGTTAGTGAACCTGAGAAGAAATTGAAATTTTATTTTTTGAAAATGAAAAAGAAAATTTTTTCTTATTGTTTTGATAAATAAGATGAGCAAGTTATCCATTAATTGTCTAAAGACATTTTTGAAATGTTAATTTATTTTTATAATTCAGCAAGTAATTTCATTTTTTGTTCAGTTTAAAATCGTTAAGAGCTTAATTCTAATCTTGATGATCTATTTATTTCATATACAGATAAGCGCTTATTGAAATTTATACAAATTTTGGATTTTAACGGTATAATAGTGTAAAAAATTGATATTTTTAGTTATAACTCCCTAAATATATTTTTTTTTTTACAAAATGTAGTAAAGCTGTAAATTATCGTAAATGAGTGATACTGACACATAATTTGTAATATCTGAAAGCACAAGCATATTCATTAACGATTAGTTCGATTTCATTTTGTTTATAGTTTATTTCGAAACAGATTAGCAATTGAATTCGAAAAAAAAACATTTTTAAAGCTAAAAACAAAGCCGTTTGCATGAATGCACCATACTGCACTTTCTTTTTTTTTAATCATTTCAATCACTCTATCATTTTACTTTAATTTGAATTAAAATATCTTTTATAAAATTTTTATAAATTCGAAATATGAAAGCTTTGATAGCAGCTTGAATAAAATAAAGCTTATTTCTTCACTAATTTTTGTCCTGTCAGGAAGAGGTAGCGGACATTGATTTTGAAGATGAGGATGAATTAGAGCCCGAAGAAGTTTTGAAATCTGAGAAATCTCCAAAACCAAAGCACGATATTCGGTTCAAGGAGCCAGAAGAGCCACAAACTATACATCCAGAAGAACAGAAAGAACCAGAAAAGGTTTCATCATTGGTTACTAAAAAACCGAAACCAGAAAGATCATCAGAAAGTAATTCAAAAACTCCTACCGTTAAAAAGTCAACAAAGCCAGGAACTCAAGAAGAACCAGAAAAATCCGATGATGAGCTTGAACCAGAATTAGTTTCAACTCCTATATCAAAAAAACCCAATCTCAAGTCGAAAGATCCGGAAGGCGGAAAACCGAAAAATAAACCAAAAACAGAACCCAAGAAACCGGACACCAAACCTGATGATGATGATGACGAGCTTGAACCAGAATTAGTTTCAACTCCTACATCAAAAAAACCCAACCTCAAGTTGAAAGATCCGGAAGGTGCAAAACCGAAAAACAAACCGAAACCAGAACCCAAGGAACCGGACACCAAACCTGATGATAATGATGATGATGAGCTTGAACCAGAATTAGTTTCAACTCCTA